TTTGTACAGGGTCTGCCTCGTAAAGTCAGAAAGGATGAGCAATGAACAGAAAACACCGGGGGGCTCCGGAGTGAAAGAGATGGAGACAGATAGCGAAGCAAAGAGAAGGAGACAGTAATCAGGGAGAAGAGGAAGAAGGAAGACAGTGGAAGACGATAGATAGGGAAACAGGGCGAAGGAAATAGAAACAATGACGAAGAGGAAGGAGGAAGCGACGGTAAAAAGAGGGCCGCTTGGAGAACAAAAAGGGGTCAGAGAAGATCAAGCAGAAAAGGGAATAGGTAGGGCAGGGCACTTGTTTTTTTCAAGCATCGCTCACTCCTTTCTTCCACGGTCTTTGTCCTTCATTTCTATTCTCTATCTCTCTATCCTCTCTCTAGCTCTCCTTCCTTTCTTGTTCCGTGTTAGTTCTCCTCTTTCCTCCTCTGTTCCTTTTGTCATTAAGTAGGGGGATAGAACAAGGGCAAGGTTAAGCAAGGAGAATGAAGGGAATGATGAGATGGAAGGAGGACTTCTCCTGCTCCTTCTAACTACCTTCCAGGCCACTCTACATATCTCAGTGTTCTTTTCTCTTGTTTTTCTTCTTAGCAATGTGGGGAAAGGGTCCTCTTCTCACACCTCTCCTTCACTCTTGGACGCCCCTCAAGGCCGCCTGAAACTCATGGGGGAGGCTCAGAAGAGGTGTGGAAAGAGGCAGTGCAGGGCCATGTCCAGAACAGGACCCATCGTTTGTACAGGGTCTGCCTCGTAAAGTCAGACAGGATGAGCAATGAACAGAAAACGCCGGGGGGCACCGGAGTGAGAGAGATGGAGACAGATAGAGTTAGATAGAGAAGCAAAGAGAAGGAGACAGTAATCAAGGAGAAGAGGAAGAAAGAAGACAGCAGAGGAGCGACAGATAGGGAAACAGGGTGAAGGAAACAGAAACAATGAGGAAGGGGAAGGAGGAAGCGATGGTGAAAAGAGGACCGCTTGGAGAACAAAAAAGGAGACAGAGAAGATCAAGAAGAAAAGAGAAGAGGTAGGGCAGGACGCTTGTTTTTGTTATCCACTGTTCCTTTTTCTTAGCCCTTACACTTATTACCCGAGCATCGCTCACTCCTTTCTTCCACGGTCTTTGTCCTTCTTTTCTCCTCTCCGTCTATCTATCCTCTCTCTAGCTCTCCTTCCTTTCTTTTCCCATGTTCGTTCTCCTCCTTTCTCCGCTCTCCTTTTGACCCTTTCCTCCTCTGTTCCTTTTGTCATTAAGTAGGCGGATAGAACAAGGGGCATGCATGGTTAAGCAAGGAGAATGAAGGGAATGATGAGATGGAAGGAGGACTTCTCCTGCTCCTTCTAACTACCTTTGTCTTTGTGTTCTTTTCTCTTGTTCTCCACCCTCGTGTTAGATCTTAAACGCAACTCTTCTCCTCGCCCAGAACTCTTCTCCTCGCCCGGGAGTGCCCAACCCGCAAAGTGTTTCTGGAGCGCCCAACCCAGACCTGGAGCGCCCAACCCCAGTGTCCCCAGAGAGTCTCCCTGGAGTGCCCAACCCCACTGTGTTTGGAGTGCCCAGCCCCAGAGCATCCCTGGAGTGCCCAACCCCAGAGTATCTCTACGCAGAGAGGGTTTGGATGTTAAAAGCAAAATAATTTTCTCCTTAGCAATGTGGGCAGCGCAGGACCATGTCCAGAGCAGGACCCATCGTTTGCACAGGGTCTGCCTCGTAAAGTCAGAAAGGATGAGCAATGCATAGGCAACACCGGGGGGGCTCCGGAGTGAAAGAGATGGAGACAGACAGCGAAGCAAAGAGAAGGAGACAGACAGTGGAAGAGCGACATATAGGGAAACAGGGTGAAGGACACGAAAGAGGAAGGAGGAAGCGACGGTGAAAAGAGGGTCGCTTGGAGAACAAAAGGGGGTCAGGGAAGATCAAGAAGAAAAGGGAATAGGTAGGGCAGGGCACTTGTTTCTGCGAGCATCGCTCACTCCTTTCTTCCACGGTCTTTGTCCTTCATTTCTCCTCTCTATCTCTCTATCCTCTCTCTAGCTCTCCTTCCTTTCTTGTTCCATGTTCGTTCTCCTCCTTTCTCCGCTCTCCCTTTTCTCGGGGGCAAGGTTAAGCGAGGAGAATGAAGGGAATGATAAGATCGAAGGAGGACTGCTCCTGCGCCTTGTAACTACCTTCCACAGCTCTCTGCATGTCTCTGTGTTCTTTTCTCTTGGTTTCTTCTTAGCAATGTGGGGAAAGGGTCCTCCTCTGACACCTCTCCTTCACTCGTGGAGGCCCCTTGAAAAGAAGGCGTGTGAAATTTTGTGGAAAGAGGCAGCGCAGGACCATGCCCAGAACAGGACCCATCGTTTGCACAGGCTCTGCCTCGTAAAGGATGGGCGGTCTTTGTCCTTCATTTCCCCTCTCTTTCTCTCTATCCTCTCTCTAGCTCTCCCTCCTTTTTTTATCTCCATGTTCGCTCTCCTCATTTCTCCGCTCTCGCTTTTCTCGTGTCCATTCCATGACCCTTTCCTCCGCTGTTCTGTTTGTCATTAAGTAGGGGGGGATAGAAGAAGGGCAAGGTTAAGCAAAAAGAAAGAAGGGAATGATATGATGGAAGGGGGACTTCTCCTGCTCCTTGCAGTTAACTACCGTCCACACTTCTCCACATGTCTTTGTGATCTTTTCTCTTGTTTTTCTTCTTACCAATGTGGGGAAAGGGTCCTCCTCTGACACCTCTCCTTCACTCTTGGAGGGTTTTTGGGGAGAAGGCGTGTGAAATTTTGTGGAGGCTCAGAGATGGTTGGAGTGTGTGGAAAGAGGCAGCGCAGGACCATGTCCAGAACAGGACCCATCGTTTGCACAGTGTCTGCCTGGTAAGAATGAGCAATAAACAGAAAACACCGGGGGACGCCGGAGTGAGAGAGATGGAGACAGATAGAGAAGCAAAGAGAAGGAGACAGTAATCAGGGAGACGAGGAAGAAGGAAGGCAGCGGAAGAGCGACAGCGAGGGCAATAGGGTGAAGGAAACAGAAACAATGAGCAAGAGGAAGGAGGAAGCGATGGTGGAAACAGGATTGCTTGGAGAACAACAAGGAGACGGAGAAAATCAAGAAGAAACGAGAAGAGGTGGGGCAGGACACTTGTTTTGTTATCCACTGTTCGCTTTCCTCGCCCTTACGCTTACTTCCCGAGCATCGCTCACTCCTTTCTTCCACGGTCTTTGTCCTTCATTTCCCCTCTCTATCTCTCCATCCTCTCTCTAGCTCTCCTTCCTTTCTTTTCCCACGTTCGTTCTCCTCCTTTCTCCGCTCTCCCTTTTCTCGTGTCCATCCCACGAGCCTTTCCTCCTCTCTTCTTTGTGTCATTAGGGGAGTAGCACAAGGGCAAGGTTAAGCAAGGAGAATGAAGGGAATGATGAGATGGAAGGAGGACTTCCCCTGCCCCTTCTAACCAGCTTCCACAGCTCTCTACATGTCTCTGTGTTCTTTTCTCTTGTTTTGTTCTTAGCAATGTGGGGAAAGGGTCCTCCTCTGACACCTCTCCTTCACTCTTGGAGGCCCCTTGGGGACGCTCTCTGAAGGCCGCCTGAAACTCTTGGGGGAAGCTCAGAGGGTTTGGAGTGTGTTGAAAGAGGCAGTGCAGGGCCATGTCCAGAACAGGGCCCATCGTTTGCACAGGTTCTGCCTCGTAAAGTCAGAAAGGATGAGCAATGAACAGAAACACAGGGCGGCGCCGGAGTGAGAGAGATGGAGACAGATAGAGAAGCAAAGAGAAGGAGACAGTAATCAGGGAGAAGAGGAAGAAGGAAGGCAGCGGAAGAGCGACAGCGAGGGAAACAGGGTGAAGGACACAGAAACAATGAAGAAGAGGAAGGAGGAAGCGATGGTGGAAACAGGATTGCTAGGAGAACAACAAGGAGACGGAGAAAAGCAAGAAGAAACGAGAAGAGGTGGGGCAGGACACTTGTTTTTGTTATCCACTGTTCGTTTTCCTCACCCTTACGCTTACTTCCCGAGCATCGCTCACTCCTTTCTTCCACGGTCTTTGTCCTTCATTTCCCTTCTCTATCTCTCCATCCTCTCTCTAGCTCTCCTTCATTTCTTTTCCCACGTTCGTTCTCCTCCTTTCTCCGCTCTCCCTTTTCTCGTGTCCATCCCACGAGCCTTTCCTCCTCTCTTCTTTTTGTCATTAGGGGAGTAGAACAAGGGCAAGGTTAAGCAAGGAGAATGAAGGGAATGATGAGATGGAAGGAGGACTTCCCCTGCCCCTTCTAACCAGCTTCCACAGCTCTCTACATGTCTCTGTGTTCTTTTCTCTTGTTTTTATTCTTAGCAATGTCGGGAAAGGGTCCCTTGGGCCTAAACCCTAACGCCTAAACCCTCGTGAGTATTTCGGCCTCGGGAATGGCTTGACGAAACGTCGTGACGCGACAGAAAACGAAAGTCTTCAACTATGATAACAGGCCTAGAAGCGTATATGCAAATTGATTATTAACCAAGAGCAAATGCCAAATAATACATAAAGGTCCATGCCACAAACCCCTAAACCCCTAAACCCCTAAACCCCTAAACCCCTAAACCCCTAAACCCCTAAACCCCTAAACCCCTAAACCCTAAACCCTAAACCCTAAACCCTAAACCAACAGCCAGAACTCAACTGGCAAGCGGCAGCCCTCGGATAGGTCCCGTTCGGGCCAGCAGCAGTCCAGCAATGCTTCATGGCTTCATTAGGTTTAGGGTTTAGGGTTTAGGGTTTAGGGTTTAGGGTTTAGGGTTTAGGGTTTAGGGTTTAGGGTTTAGGGTTTAGGGTTTTCGGGTTTCGGGTTTAGGGTTTAGGGTAGAATGGGTCTGAGGAGCAAGGGTTGCTGGGATCGACAGTCATGCAAGCCGCCGCTGGCACATGCGCGCTGCTGTAAACTTGGGTGTTTCCTTCCTATAGGGTTTAGGGTTTAGGGTTTGGGGTTTAGGGTTTGGGGTTTAGGGTTTAGGGTTTAGGGTTTAGGGTTTAGGGTTTAGCCATCTCATGTCATCTGTCCTCTTCGGGCTGTGTGCGGACCAAGCAGGATGGTATCTTCGGGAAGGCCACGGGGAAGGGATAGCACTGGAATGGTATCACGCTGACGTAGAAAGGCACAATGAAAATCAGCGCGAGTACAAAATGGAATCCCGGCGCCATACCGCAGCTGTCGTAGCAAACGGGATGGGCCGCATAGCCACAATCCGGTTCCCAGATTGCCACCATCATGTGGCCTAGACCCAGAAGTAACTTAGGACAAAAAGGGTGCCTTTTTTTGCCTTAAGGGCCACCCTGAAAAAGGGAATCAGGTTGCTCTGGGTCCTAGGAGCTTGTCATCGCCAGAATGTAGAAGAAACTGCGGTAGCCGCCACAGGGATTATTTCCCACCGCACCCGGACAGGGATCCTTCGTCGTGTCGAAGAATGGCACCACTGCCCAGGCGAATGCGCAGACCAAGGTTAAGGCCGTAAGGCACCTTGGTAGCCGTTTAGGGTTTAGGGTTTAGGGGGTTTAGGGTCTATAGGTTTAGGGTTTAGGATTTAGGGTTTCGGGTTTAGGGTAGCCCAGCAACCTTCCTGTAACAAAGGCACCCTTTGCTTTTGGGTTGGTTACCTTACAAAGGGAGCCCAGAGCCCCCACCCCCCCCAACAAGAAAAAATAAATAAATAACAGAGGGTAAAGGGTACCACTGGGCGACCAAGCCCCTAAACCCTAAACCCTAACCCTAAACCCTAAACCCTAAACCCTAAACCCTGGCTACCAAGGCACCACATAAATCCCTGGAAGTGCCTGTCTCCTGGAATCGCGACCTCGACCAAGGCGGTGCAAACCGACGCCAGGCCCAGAAGCCAAACGCTTCCCTTCAGGCACCTTACTCAGAGGGTTTCGGTTTTAGGGTTTAGGGTTCAGGGTTAAGGGTTTAGGGTTCAGGTACTATGATGGACCTAGGTACCCCCAAAACCCTATTCAGTATGATTTTTGGGCACTGATAATTCCATAATAGTACTACAGATGGGCCCTCTGGGAGCCGCACTACCAATGCCGTTTCGCTTCAGGGGAAGCGGTGGCGAAACAGCATATTGATGATGCTTCCTAAGAAGCAAACCCCAAGCCTACCTCCCTGACTATACGCCACGACAAAGGAAACAACGAAAAGGGCAATGCTAGTGCCTGGTACCCCGGACACCTCCTCGTGCACATGGCCTGCACCGCCCCACAGCAAGCCGCGAGTGGACAAGTCCAAGCCAAGATGATGAACACCTTGCTTGTCTGGATCCCCCAATTCGCGGCCGGGTACACCTGGGTGGACACTGCTGCCAGGAGATACCCACCGGCGGAGAGGACAAAGAACATCGTGTAGAGCAAGTCGCTTTTCCAGGCGGAGCTCTCCTGGTCATCGCTCAACGTGGCCAAAGCAAACCACCTAAACTTTCGGCACTTCGAATACAGCATCATCAGGGCGAAAACGACGCAAAGCCCCCCACAGCCGTAGAAGTACGCCAAGGTGGTCCCATGAGCCGCAGGCGTTGTTGCAGGGTCCGGAACTGATTCGCACTCCATGGCTCCCGCAACACAATGCGCCCGAAATGCTCTGAGGTTGTGAGACGAAGGCCTTCCTGTTCTAATCTCATGCCTCAAAACACGCTGAGGAGAGCTTCCAACTCACAGATTTTGCAAGAACAGAACAGCAGAAGGGGGGGAGGGGGGGTTTCAAAGGGAGGGTTGCCATTTCGTACTCTAAGTGATAGCCTGTTCCCGTAGTTTTGCGCGCCTCCAGCAGGAGTAAGCTGTGCCTAACCCCAGATCTCATAAGCACGCTCCAAGCCCTAGGCCTTCGGCCCAAATCTCAACAAGCCTCCCGAACACAGGCCTTCAAAAACACAGGGCGGCTGAGCATCCGCAGTCACACAAAACCAGCCGTTCTTTAAGCATGCAAAAGATGAGCCTTATACTGTGTGCCTTGGCGATACCAATGCCAATGATCAGAAGTACTACGTATGACCCAGCTTGCCTGAAGTTTGCGCTCGCGCGCGCGCGAAAATAATTTCAAGGTTTACGCGTCCATTCGTTACATCCGTGAGTCCTGCTCCGGTGCTGCTGCAAGTCCCGGCACTTTAGCTTCAGCTACACTCCTGCAGCTGGCACGACAACTATGCACATCTGGACCTAATATAGACCCCCAAATAGTAGGATCTCCTTGTAAGTAGGACCCCAATAAGGAACCCCTAATATCGTAAACCACTTCAATGACGTTCGAACTCGCCTCGCCCCGGCCGGGGCACTGCCGGGGCAGGGAACTCCCCAAAAAACTCAATTCCAAGCTCAAGGGACACCCCTCAAAAGGGGGGAGGGGGGAACTAGGGTCGCTATGCGGTTCGTGTTTAGGGGAGAGTGCACTGAACCCGAACTTTAGGGATTAGGGTTTAGGGCCCCCACTCCCGCCCCCCGGATACTGGAGGCATGGCCTGGTTGGGCTTCGCCCGAATGGTCCGGCAGTCAGGTTCGCGGCCTCCCCAACAACGCAGGTTTAGGGTTTAGGGTTTAGGGTTTAGGGTTAGGGTTTAGGGTTTAGGGTTTAGGGTTTAGGGTTTAGGGTATTCGGGTTTAATTAGGGCTTTGGGTTTAGGGTTGTAGGATCAGAGTGAAGACTTGGGATGTTCCCCCTTTTTACGAGCAGTCCTTAAGAGGGATTCTAGTAGGGGTACTTAAAACCCTAAACCCTAAACCCTAAACCCTAAACCCTATTAAGGACTGTTAGGTTTTCATGGTGCAGGGTTTTCAAAGTGCTTGAGGGCTCATAGGGTTGGGCATCCGACTTGCTTTGATGGCGTTTATGAAAGGAATCCAAACCCCCAAAGAACAGGCACAGGGTTTACGTTTTACAACATACCGTGCTGACAATCTTGCTTGAGGGCTATTGTACGGTAGAAGCTGTTCTGAAGTGCAGCTTGGGTCAGGGTACAAGCTTCACTCAAATTGCGATTATGTGCCCTATAACCCTTCTCTACTAGAACAATGGACTCTAACATGAACACTGCAGGCCCAAACCCCAAACCCTAAAGCCTGAACCCTGAACCCCAAGCAAGTTCATATGATTTGCAGTGTTATAAGGAACATCCGGTCTTTTCCTCACGCCGGCGCATTCGACGTCAGGCGTTCTGCGTGTAGCAACTGGCCTTGCCATGCCGGCTTAGAGTTTAGAGAGTCTAGAGAGTTTGGAGAGTTTGGAGAGTTTAGAGGGTTTAGAGAGTTTAGAGAGTTTAGAGAGTTTAGAGAGTTTAGAGAAGTCGAGGATTTTGAGTTAAGCTTTAGCGGGAACCCTAAACCCTAAACCCTAAACGCCCTAAACGCCCTAAACCCTAAACCCCTTAAACCGTTCTCGCAGGGCCGGTTCGCTTCTCATCTAGGCTGAAAGTAGGAACTTCAGCATGGCGAGGGCCGGCTAGGGTTCAGGGCTTCGGCTTCAGAGTTCAGAGTTCAGGATTGAGGGTTTAGGGGCTCAGGGGTTTAGGGGTGTAGGATTTTAGGGTTCAGGGTTGAGGGTTTAGGGGCTCAGGGGTTTAGGGGTTTAGGATTTCGGGTTCAGGGTCGAGGGTGCTAAGGCTTGTGTCACGCTGGGCAAGGACATGCAGCGCGGTGGAAGCCCCTTGGCGCCTATTCAGCAGGGAAACGAACACCATGGCTTGGGATGTTTCCCCTTATGCTGTCAGTCCTTATTAGGCATTTAGGGTTTAGGGTTGAGGGTTTAGGGTTTAGGGTTTAAGGTTTAGGGTCTAGGGCCTAGGGTTATCCTAAATCCTAAACCCTGAATGCCTATGAAGGACTGTCACAATCACTATACAACCCGAGACCTAACCGTGTGCCGTCCAAGCTGGCCAAGGGCCCTAATCACCCGCTTGACGATTTACTCGCCCTGAGGCCGTCAAGGCCGCAACTTGCTAGACCCCCTAAACCCTAAACCCTAAACCCTAAACCCTAAACCCTAAACCGCAGGTGTGCCTGCTTTTTCACCTCGCCCAGCGGCTCCACCAACTGCGCGCAGTCGCTGATCCACTTCCTTTGTCAAACATGACAAAGCCAGGCCAACTGAACCCGACCCCTTTCACAAGGGTTTGGGGTTTAGGGTTGATAGGGTTTAGGGTTTAGGGTTTAGGGTTTAGGGTTTAGGGTTTAAGGAGTATGGGCGGAAAGGGGCCATCACATCGCGTGCTTCCAGCCCAGAGTTGGGTCTTCCCCCATTACCTCCTTCTTTCGGGGTGCGTATGAAGCGTCTAACGCTCCAAAACCCAGAGTCATGACATCTAGTGCCCGACTTAATAAACCCTAAACCCAAAACCCAAAACCCTAAACCCTGGCGGACACATGTTCGGTAGGTTTCCCTATCACAGGGAGGGCCTCTCATGCTCTGGAGCAACCATTCCATCATAAGGGTACCCTCCTTGGGGGTCCTAGGGTTTAGGGTTTAGGGCGGTTGGTAACTGTGTTGTAAGGGAACCTGGAACACCTAAAGTGCAAAACGTCAACAGCTGGGCTATGAAGGCACCTCATGATCGTCTGTTTGGGGTTGAGGGCGGGGGTTTAAGATTTATGCAAGGCATTGGGTGGCTGAGGGTTTGAGGTCTATGAACGCTTGGGGTTTAAGGTCTAGGGTTTAGGATTTGGTGTAACTAGTGCTTCTAGGGGTCACTTTTTCGGATCGTAGAGTTGTATGTCGTATACTCCGCATGTGGCCAGTTCACTGAGTTCTGGTCCAATTCTGTTCGCCCCAGATATAAGGGCCCACATTGCAAGGAAATTGCAGTTTTGAACCCTAAACCCTTAAGCCCTAAACCCAAGACTCTGAACCCTAAGGCCTCAACCCTATATAAGCCCTAAGCCCAACACTGCCAAAAGGGACCCTCAGTTTGGGAACCTGCCGTGCCATGTACGCACCCCAGATGCAGATGATGCTTCTACTTGTCAGGGTCTAGAGTTTAGGGTTTAGGGTTTAGAGTTTGGGGTTTGGGGTTTATGGTTTAGGGTTTAGGGTTTGGTTTGAGGTTTCGGGTTTAGGGTGGCTTTGCCGCAGATGCCGGCCTAATTGCAAGAAGTAGCAAAGACAGGAAACATGCCAAGATGCAGAAGAATCACCGAAACAATCGCGCAAGCTAGCAGAGATGTTTGATCCCTGCATGTCAAGGCTTAGAGTTTAGGGTTTAGGGTTTAAGGTTTCGGGTTTAGGGTAGAGTCTAGATGTGTAGATGGGGAGGACAAGAGGTGAGACTGGAAAACTTCAGGCATCACAGGTTATCGGGCCAAAGCCAAGCTTCATCATCTTCTTCTCTATGGCTGCTGCGTCTGAGCCGCTGGCATACCTTGCAGTCTGCGTCTTCTGTAGCCTGGTCTTGCCTGTTATCCGGTCTCCATCTTCTGTCGTGAGAAAACCATCCTCCTTCTGGCTAGCTGATGTAGCTCATCGTCACTCCCTGAATCTCTCTCCCTCTCTCGCACTCTCGCTCTCGCTCGCTTAACAAATTGGCACCCAACCAGGTCACCCTGAAAGAGTAACACCGAAACTTGCCACCCCTATAAAAACTCCCCAAACCCTCAGAAATGCGAAACTCTAAACCTCGAGCACCAGGCCCCTCAACCCCAAAATCTTGCAAACTACACCCCTCAAGCACCCTAAACCCCCTAAACCCCCTTAAACCCCCCCCCCCCCCCCCCATAAACGCCATAAACCCCCTAAAACCCCTTAAAACCCCCCCATAATCCCTAAAACCCCTGAAACACCCCCAAACCCTAAAACCCCCCTAAATGGCCTAAACCCTGAACCCTAAACCCTAAACCCTACAGCCCTAAACCCTAAACCCTAAAGCCCTAACACCCGGCGGCTCAGGGACTTCTGCACGGTAACAGCCTTCTTGGGATCCTCCGTTGCAGCACAGAAGTCGCAGGACCTGCGGGGTGTAGGTTTAGGCTTTAAGAGCGGAGCACAAGAAGCCCCCAAAGAAGCTGGGGGTTTAGGGGCAGGAGGGGGTTCTGTCCGGCGCCCATATCCCGACACTACGCGTAGGAAATCCATGAGCTGAGCGGTGCCCCGGGGAGGGGTTCCAGGTTCAGGGTTTACCTGGGTACCCGAAATCTTGTTCAAACCCTAAACCCTCAACCCTAAACTCTGAACCCTGTACCGAGATGTTGAGGGGCCTGCCAATGGTCAGCATTTGGAAGGTGCACCCCCCAAAAAACCTCCAGGACATCCAGTCCCCAAGGCGCCAAGCCGAAAACCCTGCATGGTTTAGGGTTTAGGGTTTAGGGTTTAGGCGGGTTTAGGGTTTGGGGTTTGGGGTTTAGGGTTTAGGGTTCCTAAAGCTACAACCCCACACTCCTATAACCCTGTAAAACATAAGCCCCTAAACCCTATCAATCACCCTAAAACCCTAAAAACCGAATAGCCCAAAAATATATAACCCTTTAAACCCACAACCCTATAAACCCCAACCCCCCCCAAAAAAAAAAAAACACAACAGTCTAACCCTATACACCCTATAACCTCATAACCCTATAAACCCTATAAACCCTGCAAACCCTACAAACCCTATAAACCCTATAAACCCTATAAACCCTACATTCCCTCTAAACCCTCTAAACCCTACAAACCCTATAAACCCTAAAAAGTTCCTAAAACCCAAAACAACCTAAAACCCCCAAAAGTTCCTAAAACCCAAACAACCTAAAACCCCAAAAAGTTCATAAAACCCAAACAACCTAAACCCCCAGAACTTCAACGCAGCACCAGCAGAGCCCCGGGCAGGCAGCTGGCATCCGTGTTGGCGGCCACCTCTGCCTTTTAGGGGGGTTTAGGGTTTAGGGTTTAGGGGTTAGGGTTTAGGGTTTTAGGGTTTGTTTGGGGTTTAGGGGTCAGGGTTTGGGGTTTAGGGTTTAGGGTTTAGGGCTTGGGGTTTAGGGTTTAGGGTTTGGGGTTTGGGGTTTGGGGTTTAGGGCTTGGAGTTTAGGGCTTGGGGTTTAGGGTTTAGGGTTTAGGGTTTGGGGTTTGGGGTTTGGGGTTTAGGGCTTAGGGTTTGGGGCTTAGGGTTTGGGGTTTGGGGCTTGGGGTTTAGGGCTTAGGGTTTGGGGTTTAGGGTTTGGGGTTTGGGGTTTAGGGTTTGGGGCTTAGGGTTTGGGGTTTAGGGTTTGGGGTTTAGGGTTTAGGGTTTAGGGCTTAGGGTTTGGGGTTTAGGGTTTGGGGCTTAGGGTTTGGGGTTTGGGGTTTAGGGCTTAGGGTTGGCTTAGGGTTTGTTTCTTTGGGGTTTTGGGTTTGCGGTTTAGGGTTTCGGGAGGGTTTAGGGTTTGAGGGCTTCTGGAAGAAACTTTCACGTGTGACAGGGTTTTCTGGCTTTAGGGCTTGAGGATCACTACTTTGGAGTAGACCCTGGAAAAAAAAGGTATGTACCTTTTTAGATATAAGTAGCTATCATGGGAACCCACAACCACAAAAAGTACTAAAGTGTAGTACTCCCAAACATCGGGCCAAGCCACTAAGGCCTAAGGCCGAAACAGGGAGCAGTTGTAGGGTTGAGATTTCAGGTCTCAGACTAAGGGCCATACTAAGGGCCCTAAGCCCTGCACCCCAAAAACCGTAACCCCCCCTCTTGTTTAGCGCAGCCTGACAGGGCTGATTTAGGGTTTAGGGTTTAGGGTTTAGGGTTAAGGGTTAAGGGTTAAGGGTTAAGGGTTAAGGGTTTAGGGTTTAGGGTTTAGGGCTATTTGGGGTTTGGAGGGTTCAAGCCACGTGCACAGGTTCCTGCTTCAGGCTCCTGCGTACGAGGGGCCACCCTCAGCACTCAAACCCAAACCCCCTACACCCCAAAAAAACCCGAACCCTCTAAACTCTAAATAGCCCTAAACCCTGAACCTTAAACCCTGAACCCTCTAAACTCTAAATCGCACTAAACCCTAAAGCCTAAACCCTAAACCCTGAACCCTCTAAACTCTAAAAAACCCTAAACCCTAAACCCTAAACCCTAATACCCTAAACCCTAAACCCTAATACCTAAAAACCCTAAACCCTAAACCTCCCAGCTGCCTCCCGCTCCCATAGTTCCTGGAAGCGCTTCGTCTGGCCCACCGAGGCAAACTGCCGAAAGGTTCAGGGTTTAGGGTTTAGGGTTTAGGGTTTAGGGTTTAGGGTTCAGGGTTCAGGGCTTAGGGCTTAGGGTTTAGGGTTTAGGGTTTAGGGTTTAGGGTTAGGGATTAGGGTTTAGGGTTTAGGGTTTAGGGTTTAGGGATAAGGGTTTAGGGATTAGGGTCGAGGGTTGCTTCGGGTTTTGGAAACCAGGTGTTGGGGTTTAGGTCTTGGAGTTCAGGTCTTAGGACCAGTGATTTGGGCTGACGCGAAACTACACCGGAATCAGCCTCTTCATGCGCGGCCCTGAGATCCGAAAAAAAATGAACCGTGGAACCCAGGTTTTATATGTCCCTTAACCGTAGCCAGCATAGTAAGGAGGGCCCCTTCCAGCCCTTGTCCTACATACCTGAATACGTGGGCTCGGTTTTCCTTCATGCTACGGAACGGTGGGTTGAAAGGCCCACACTGAAGAACAGCGTTTGTGTGCGAGAGAATATGTGTGTACATGTGTACATACACAAATACCTGCATATAGAAATACATACGCATGTATGTGTCTGTATATATATATATACACATACATGTGTATATTATATATATATATATATGTGTGTGTGTGTGTGTGTATGTGTATATTTATATATGAGAGAGAGAGAGAAAGAGAGAGCCGTTTTGGGTCTTCGTTGCATCTCCGGGAGTGTTTGTCAAACTTAACTAAGCTACTGTCAGCGTTGCGAGAAATCTGCATCCAACTACTTAAGCTAGCAAAACAAGTTTATCAGTTGAAACTCATTCCACACTTGAAGCAGTTGGGCTGGGAGCCGGGATCTTAGCCGATTCAACAAAGCTAACAAGCCCATTGCGAGTTTATAACAAATTCATGTAATCGGCATTTTGCAAATTAGGTAAACCAGCGAGCTTGGCACGCCGGCGCCTTCTGAGTTAACTACTAACAAACCTGGCCTTATTGAATTACTTCAACTATTTTGAAAACTAACACAAAGTCAGGTAAGTAAACTGATGTAGTCCGGCTGGGGCCCTGGCTCCAAGCCCAAAACTTCATCAACAATTTACCTTGAACGATTAAAACTCGCAACGGCTGCTATACATCTATACATCTCCAGTGAGGGCCTTCATGCTTATAGCGTCTGCCTATGCGAAGGTACACGCATCTAAGCCACCTGAAGTTCGTATCATGCAGTTTGGGGGTTTATGATTTACGCCCTAAACAAAAACCCTAAACCTTAAACCCTAAACCCCGACTCCCTTCAGTCTTCGCAGGGAGCTGCTCGCAGGCGAACCTCCCAGTGGACCAGAAGGACGTGAGTCTTGCACTTCTTGGCCTCCGATATGGGGGGGGTTTAGGGTTGTTTGGGGCTTAGGGCTTAGGGCTTAGGGTACTTCTTGGTTCCGGTGTGGGGGTTTGCGAACATCGCCGTCGCCTTTTTGGGGTGGAAGGAGGATTCTGGCATGTTTTGGGGGTGGCCGGGGGAGATCAAGTGTTGATTCCAGTTTGGGATTGGGGGGGGGGGGGGGGGGGGGGGGGGGTGTAGGACTTAGGCGGCAGGGAATGGATAAGCCCTAAACCCCAAACCTTCAGGTAGCCTGAACCACCCCAGGCCCTAAACCCTACACCAGACCCCAACAGCCCTAGCACCTTCGACCCCACCCCCCGAATTCCTAACCCTAAACACCGAAACCCCGAAGCCTTGGGATGTTCCCTGTTTTCCTCACAGTCCTTAATAAGGATTTTAGTACCCCCCCCCACTATAATCCCGACTAATTAAGGACTGTTAGTATAAGGGGGAACATGACATCCTGCAACCCTAAACCCTAAACCCTAAACCTCAAACACTAAACCCTGAACCCTAAACCCTACACCCTAAGCCCTAAGCCCCAAACCTTTAACCTTTAAACCCCTAACTCCCCAAACATCAAGCCGCCTGCTTGGCAAAGAAGCGCCTGGCCACAATGGTGCCCAAGCCAAGCCCCAAGGCCAACCAAACCTGGGGTTTAGGGTTTAGGGCTTAGGTTTCTAGGGTTCAGGGTTCAGGGTTCAGGGTTTAGGGTTTAGGGGGATTTAAGCGATCAAACCACTGCCAGGTTCGAGCGTTCCGGAAGCACCAAGTCACACAAGAACTCGAGCCGGCTCGATCTTTCAAAAACAAACCCAAAGTTGCATCTATGAGGCCTGGGTGCCACATGCTCCCAAAATCCAATTTTTTTTGGAACATCCGAGCCGGCCCGAACAAACATTTCCAAAGCTTTGGGTCGCGACAACTCGAGCCGGCTCGAGCTTCTTTGAAGAATCTATCGCCCCCCAGGCCTCATAGATGATCGAACTTCTGTGTTGTTTGGAAAATTTGGGCCTGCGTGAGTCTTCGTGACCTGGTACGGTACTGATCTTTGAAATTTCGAGCCCAGTCGAATATTCCAAGAGTCTGAAAGCACCAGGCCACTAAAACTCGAGCGCCTCGAATGTTCATAAAACACCCCTAAACCCTAAACCCTAAACCCTCAACCCTAAACCCCTAACCCCTAAACCCTAAACCCTAAACCCTTAAACCCACATAGACTTCAGGAAGTCCTCGGCCTCGCAGATGCCAGATTCGAGGTATTGCTTAGAAAGATCAAGCCTGCTCAAGTTTTTGCGACCCTGGTACCTCAAAAGCTGCTGAAAAAATTGAGCCTGCTGTATACATATTATATATATATATATGTATATATACATATATGCATATATATACATATATATATATCTCTCTCTCTCTCTCTCTTTCCCTCCCTCCCTCCCTCCCTCTCTCTCTCTCTCTCTCTCTCTCTCTCTCTCTCTCTCTCTGTCTGTCCCGAGGTTCCTAAAACACCCACAAATGCAAAACCCTAATCCGGCTTAGGGTTTAGGGTTTAGGGTCGTCACCGCGCCACCTGATCGCGTGAGCTGTGAGGAAATGGGCAGTACGACATGCTGCTCGAGGACTTCGACGTGTCACCAACCCTTCCTGCCAAACCTACCGTGATCACCATATTGAACCCTACAGTCTAAACCCTAAACCCAAACCCCCCAAACCCGAGAAACTCCTCAAACCATCTAGGAATGATCAGAAGTCTCTAAGACACTGCGAGCTTGAGATTAGACGTTAGGGCCAGGGCTTTCCTCCTGAGGGATGTTTGCGTGGGAGGCTGAAACCCGATTTGAACCCTTTCGGGCTCTAGGACTTCGGGTATGAGTAGAAAACGCTTCGCAGTTAACAAAGAAATCCAAAATCAAACGTCTGATGCTGAGTCTGGTGGGGTGCGGCTGCTATGCGCCGTTGAATGTGCCAAAAAACTTGCTTGAGCCAATCGGGCGGCAGATCGATTCGTTCGTGGCGTACTGAGGCCAGCACCCTAGAGCAAAAACCACTCAAACCCGCTGGGGCTTCTAAGGTATTTGGAGCTACCAGACTTGCAGGCCACACAGAGCCAAACCCATAAAACAAACCCTCCTAAACCCTAAACCCGAAACAACAAAAAATGAACGAAATGAATAAAAACGAATAAACAAATAAGCAAATTAAAAAAAAAAATAAACAAAAAAAATGCAACAAAGACACAACTGGGAACCTCGTAAACCGGAAACGGCCCTGAACATCCCAAAAGCGCTTACGCCCTCAACCCTAAACCCTAAACCCTAAACCCTAAACCCTATAGAGTTTAGGGGGGGCGGGGGGCTGCGCGGCTGTTGAGGTGTTGGATTCTGGTTGGGAAACCGGAGCCTGAAGCCTTCCCCCAAAACCCTCAAGAAGTCCTGAAAAATTAGAATCGGGTTTGGGGGGGTTATTGAAGTACACTTATACAGGGACCATAAGGGAATGCGATTAGTAGTTATTCCGACCGCGATTATTCCAAGCCCTAAACCCTAAACCCTCGAAAATCCTAAGTGGCTAAGCCCTGAACCCTGACGCCCTCTCATCAAAACCCCTCCCAGCCCTGACCTTGCTTCCGCTTCCGAGCTTTGCCGGGCGCCGTGCCGTCCACCTACAGAGTGGAGGAGGGGTTTAGGGTTTAGGGTTTAGGGTTTCGAGCATTTGGGGCTTAAGGGTTTTAGGGTGAAGGGTTTAGAGCTTTTTTTGGATTCAGGGCTTAGTGACTTCTCGGAGTCGGCTTCGGGATTGAGGGAGTTGTGGTTTGGGGCTTTGAGGGTTTATGGGGCGTAGTAGGAAGTAGCCTTAGATTGGGACTTCTGCGCGTCTGCAAGTAGAATGATGGCCCAAACCCCCTAAACCCCTAAACCCTAAACCCTAAACCCTAAACCCCGGACTTAGGGCGACCAGCAATCTCAAGACTTCGAGTGGTCGTAACAAGACTTATACTGCACTTTGATCCAGGAACATGCACGTTCCACGAAGTGATCGTTCCAAATATCGGGTTTAGGGTTTAGGGTTTAGGGTTTAGGGTTTAGGGTTTAGGGTTTAGGGTTTAGGGATACTGAAAGCCTTCAACTTAAAGCCAAAACGTAAGACCAGCAGAAAGCCAACATACGCCAATCCTGAATCCCCAAGCACTCTGCTAGGTCCCCCTGTGACAAGAAATGCAACTTCATAAGGGCCCACTCTGGGCTTTTCGCGTAACAGGAGGAACCCTAAACCCTAAACTCACAAAAAACCTAAACCCTACCCCCTAGACCCTAAACCCTAAACCCTAAACCCCTCAAAGAAGCTGGGACATGGTTTTTTTTAGGGTTTTACGGGGTGACCGTGCAGAAAAGGAGCCTCGAGTAGTGCTGCTTCCACATCAAAGGCCTCCCACCTTGCGGTTCTTGGGGCCATAAGGGTTGAACCCTAGAGCCTAAACCTTAAACCCTAAACACCCTAAACCCTAAACCCCAAACCCTAAACCCTAAACCCGAAACCCTAAACCCTATCCAGAATCCTCAGGGCCTACTTGGAGGTGCAGGGTGCCTACAGCCCCAATGGTAACTGTACTTATTAGCCCCCGACGTCCTCTAAGCAGCTTCTAAGAAGACTTAGAATTGGCCATGAACCTCCAAGTAAGCTTCCAAAATTCTAAGTCACAATCCCCTAAAGAAGAGGAGTCTGGTGGCGGGGCTACAAAAGACTCTTAGGGGGCTCCTCGCATCTTGCTTCATCTCGAGCAGTGCAAGAATGCATCCAATGCATGAGGGCTTGGGGGTATTGATGGCAGTTATTCTTGGGGCTTTGTCGGTCTTTAGGCCCTTTAGGAGTTCGAGTGGGCTGTGGAGCCTCAGGAGACTGAGCTTGGGGACGAGTTCGATCCTGGAATTTGGGGGGTCATACCAGCTCTACGACCTTAGTCCCTGAGGCCTAAACCCTAAACACTTTCGTTGGTCCGCAGGGATATGAAGTAGGTGGCTTATTGCTAGTATGCCCAAAGGCCAACCCTCATACATAGCATCCCCGTAGGAGCCCTGTATACACTGTATACACTCACCATAATTAAATAAGGGTTACGGGTTTAGGGTTCGGGTTTGGGGTCTGGGGTTCGGGGTTTGGGGTTTAGGGTTTAGGGTTTCGGGCTGAAATATGAATCACGCTAGTGCTCAGAGACCGGAAGAGACCCATCCCCTTCGCCCCCCCCCCCCCCCCCCCGGCTTTGCGTAGCCCTGGTCGTAGGCATGCCCGGCCTCGGTCTTCTTGAAGGGTTTAAGGTTAGGGTCTAAGGTTTAGGGTTTGAGGGTTTGAGGGTTTGAGTGTTTGAGGGTTTGAGGGTTTGAGGGTTTGAGGGTTTGAGGGTTTGGACTGAAGGGTTTTTGAGGGTTTAGGGTTTAGGGCTCAAGGTTTCGGACTTAGGGTCTACTTGAAGAATCGGCATGCTTCGTAAACAGGTTACGAAGCTGGGATAGAAGTAAAAAAAACGCTGGGCTGCAAGCAAAACACCCCCAATGCGGGTCCCCCCCATAGCTCCTTAGAGTTTAGTTTAGGTTTAGGGTTGGGTATCTCGTTTCATGGTTGGTGTAAGAAACTAAAGACAGTTAGGTATACCAGACAGGGGCAACGGCGATCGGGGGATCTGAAATTATAATGCGTATTCTGGTCAGTGTAAAGAATCTGTCAGGGGGTCGTTTCGGTAAAGTGGCAAATATCTAATACTGGAAATTATCTTACTTTTGTCTTCATCAGGAAATCATGGAAGGTAGGTACCTTAAAGCCGAAACTCCAAACACGCCTAAACCCTAATCAGGTACCTATCATGCGTTTGTGGCTGGGTTGAAGTGAAGACGAACTCTCTCATGCACCATGCTACGAGGCCGATGCAACCCTAAACCCTAAACCCTAAACCCTAAACCCTAAACCCTAAACCCTAAACCCTAAACCCTAAACCCTAAACCCTAAACCCTAATCTGCAAGAGAGGCGAACTTTCTTCCGCTGGGCCGGGCTCCATGCCCAACATCTGCAAGCCTGTTTCCCTAAACCCGTGCGATTGGGGCCTTAATTGAATAACTAGAACAGGGTTTGGGGGGGGGGGGGGTACGAGAACAGATTCATAAAGGGGCCATAAGGGAATACCATCCGCAATTATTCCGACCCAAACGCCTAAACCCACATCTGCAAGTCTGCTTTAGCCGTAGGGTTTGAGTATGTTCGTAGGGTAGCTCAGCCGACATAAGGGTTTAGGGTTTGGGGTTTAGGGTTTAAAAAACCAACGGTGCGCACACGCTCCATTGGGCGCCCACCGTGCGACGCATTCAAAGCTGTCTCGGCGCGCTAGAAATCTTGCAGCAGCAGCGGCAGAAACCCTCAAACAGACAAACCTAAATGGAGAACACTTTCCTACTTCTCAGGGCGTACTTTCAGGGCGGCGCGAGGACAAAAACAAGACAAGTCCGTGACAGAACTGCCGGAAAGCAAGCCGACTCCTACTGTTGAGGGCGGCGCAAAGGTGTCCAATCTGAAGGTCCCATGAGTTAAAATGAAGGGTTGTCGGGTTTTGGGTTTAGGTCTACAAGGAAACGGCTCTGTAGGGTAGAGGCCAATGCAATGGCAGCCCATGGTGCAAGCAGCATGAGCTCCAATCTGAAGTACATCCCTCTAGCGGAACTTAACATGAGTGTAGCTAAACCCTGAACCCTGTAAACCCTGAACCAAGAACCCTAAACCCTAAACCCTAAACCCTAAACCCTAAACCCTAATCCCTAAACCCTAAACCCCAAACCCTAAACCCTAAACGAAACACTCAGGGAGCAGGTCAGTGCCGGAAACCTCTGCATGATTGCCTTGAAAGCTTCTGCTTCAAAGTCGGGTGACACGACCATCCTCTCAAAACCACTAGCATGGGCAAGGGGTTTAGGGTTGGGTTAACGGTTTCAGGGTTTGTTTCTGAGGCCTACCTATGATCTCCGCTCAGATGACTGGGCCTTTGGTGAATAAGGGCTGCGTTAGACTCTAAGGTCTAGGGTTTGGGGCTTAGACAGCCGCCCTCGCAATCGGATGATGGGATCGGCAAAGTCTGAGAAGTTCTGGCAAACCAAAGAGTAGCACAGCCGGCATGACAAACGTGACGCAAAGGAGCGCGGAGCGAGTGTAGGAGTCTCTGATCACCTTGGCTTATGTGGATTTCGCTTTGTTCTACTGTGAAGAGCGATGCAATGACGATACTCCAAGAGACTAGGACCCTAAACCCTAAACCCGAAACCCTAACCCCTAACCCCTAAACCCTAAGGGTAGGTGCGATAACTCTTGGCAGTTCTGGGGCACCCCTTATTTACAACTTTACAAGGCCTCTGGCCCAGAACGACCTGCTGCCCATACTGCGGGACATCCTACCCTAAGAGACCTAACCCCAAAACCCTATAAACCCTGTAAACCCTGTAAACCCTGTAAACCCTAAGACCTTCTACCCTAATTGCACCCTGTTCACAAACAGCCCTCAAGCTCTGAAAGCCTCTTCCCCCGCCAAAGAATCCCAAAAAGCGAAAACCTAAACCCTAAACCCTAAACATTCAGGGTCCCCAAACCCCCAAACCCCCCCTCCCCCCCCCGGCACCCCCCGCCTCTCTCAGTATTCTCGGGTCGTTGTCGTTGAAGACCACGCCCACCTCTTCAGGCTTGGGCGTTTTAGGATTTTAGGGGGGTTTTGAGGCTTGTGCGGTCTACTACGAAGCACTAATTTTGGCTTTGATCTCAAGACGCCTTCGGGTGTAGATACATGAAAAGCCTGAAGCCGCACTCCCTGTTATTGCGGGGGGGGGGGTGCAAGAACCCAAGTTAAGAAGCTCGTGGTATGCGGTTTAGGGTTTCGGGGAAGAGGAGTTCAGGGGTTTAGAGTTTAGGGTTTGGGGTGTAGGGGTTTAATGGTTTGGAACTTCAGGGTTTAATGTTGTCTGCTGATTAGTGTGCCCCCCCCCCCCCCCCTCCAACAATTAGACTCCGCTCTTTCGTGTGGGGGGGGGGGCGGGGGGGGGCAATTTGGTGTGTGTGGGGGGTCTGGCGATTTTAAAAGGGATGAGTTTATATGAATTTAAAAGGGATGAAATGATGTTGAAAGGGATCCACATGATTTTAAAAGGGATGAGTTTGTATGAATATAAACGGGATCCATCTATCATCTATCCTGACCAAGCCAGCCCGCAAAAATAAAAAACAACAAACATATATATATATATATATACATATATATAATTATATATATTTCCGGGGGACCAAACGTTTCATATTATACGGAATTCGGGCAGCTGTTGGACTACCCCTCTGAAATTTGATTGCTTGGCCTCGGTACAAAAGCATTTTATAAGGAAATCTTAGCCTTGGGGCTGGCCTGGAGACTGAAGATTTCAGGGCCCGACAACTTCAGGCCTCAAGGTTTAGGAAGCCTTAGCCCTTAGGCCTCTGGATCCAAACCCAACTAGCCCGCAACAAAAATATAAAGTCGGGGGGGCAAACTTTTTATATTATACGGATTTCGGCAGCTGCTGGACTACCCCCTTTGAAATTTGATTGCCCGGCCTCGGTACAAAAGAATTTAATAAGGAAATCTTAGTTTTGGGGCTGGAGACTGAAAATATCAGGGCCCGACAACCTCAGGCCTCAAGGTTTCAGGCTTTAAGGCTTTGATCTTTGGTCTCTCAGGCTCAGTTCAGCAGCGATTTCTAGACAACAACGCCATGCAACAGCCTCGCCGGAATTTTGCATCGCCCGAATTTTTGTTTCACAATTCCGGGGGACCTCCTCAAATAGACCCCCTGAATAGTTTCTTGGATTTTTTTTCACAATTCGGGGGGGGGGGGGCACACTAATCAGGATACAACATTAGGGTTTAAGGGTTTAAGGAGGGTTTCGGGTGTAGGGGGTTCGGGGTTTAGGGTTTAGGACCTAGACTAACAGGGTGTGGGGTGTGGAAGAGGGGAAGGGTTTCATGGTAGAACCCCGGCTGGATGGCTTTTGGGCACCCCCTACTCAGCATCTGACTGGAGTGCTGCTGTACGGTTATTGTTCAGGGTTTGTTCCGGGAGGTCAGAGGATATGCTTGTTCTCAGCGATGGTCCCGTCTGGTATCCTCCTTATTGAAACTATTGTAATAGATGCAGGTACGGTGCGAGACCCCAAACAGGGCCCCAGAATTTACAACCAGCACCCCCCCCCCCCCCCCCCCCATCTGTCGGCTTCTGACCTGACCTGCAAGAAAACGCCCCAGACCAAATTCATCACCGTGACGATCATCAGGTTCCTGACAGTTCAGGGTTTCGGGTCTGGATGTCGGAAAGTCAAATGTCAGGACGCTTCAGGTGCTTCCATGGTCAAGTCTGGTACACAAGGGCCCATCTGTCCCCATGTACCCTAAACCCTAAACCCTAAACCCTAAACCCTAAACCCTAAACCCTAAACCCTAAACCCTAAACCCTAAACCCTAAACCCTATAGGCTGAAACCCGACGATGGATCCTCATGCCAATGGCTGGAAGTGCCAAAACACACCGTTGCCGAGGCTCAGCAGCACGTCACACACCAGGTAGCGGCGAGGAGCGGAGAAGCGGTTCATGAGGTACAGGCCCACCTCACTTGGGGTTTAGGGTTTGGGGTTCGGGGTTTGGGGTTTAGGGTTCAGGGTTTAGGGGTTACGCACAAGCATGCCGACAGCCCATGACGGACTTGACTCTGGCGGGCTCTGGAGTCAAGTTTTAGAGACAGTACATGCGACCAGAGTACGTGAACACCTTGAAGCATTCACGCAGCAAACCCTAAACCCTAAACCCTAAAGCCTAAACCCTAAACCATAAACCCTAAGCCCTAAACCCTAAACCCCAAACCCTAAACCCTAAGCCCTAAACCCTCCCCAGCCCTAAACGGCCTTGGCTGTGGTGGGCATGACGCCCAGCCATAGGCCCAGGAAGTAACAAAGAAAGTATGCGAACCACTGTCCTTCGGGGTTTAGGGTTTAGGGTTTAGGGTTTAGGGTCTAGGGTTTAGGGTCTAGGGTTTAGGGTTTCCCATGTAGGGTACACTTGGGCCCTAAAGCATAAGGCCCAAGGTTATATACTCTATATGGGTACATGGACCCTTAGAGTAAGGGCTTAGGTTCCACGTAGCGGTTGATACATACCAAGCGCAAAACCTAAACCCTAAACCCTAAACCCTAAACCCTAAACCCTAAACCCTAAACCCTAAACCCTAAACCCTAAACTTCTGAAACGAGCCAGCTGTCGGTCACCTTCCGCCGCCGACTTGGTGCAAGGCCAGCACGTCCCGATGCTCGTGTCTAGACCGGCCCAAAGGATTGGACAGAAAATCATCAGGAAGTAGCCTCGGTTCAGGGTTTAGGATTTAGGGTTTAAGGTTTAAGGGGGCTTCCGAAATTAGGGTTACCTTGTTGAGGTCATCATTATACTATTTGGGGGTCTTGTGGGAGTTTCCGACATTTGGGGGTGCCTTACTGGGGTCCTCATTAGACTATTTTGGGGGGTTTCTCTTCGGGGACCCTGATTTTCGTAAGCCCCCTGTTGCGGAAACTCACAGGTTTGGGAACGCAAGATGCAACCCCGCATACTCGGAACCGTGAGCACCCTAAACCCTCAACCCAACCCTCAACCCTCAACCCTAAACCCTTAGCCAAGGAGCCGTAGGGGAACATGTCCTGTCCAAGCTGCTGGTCGAAGGTGGAACGCAAGAGAGGTGCTGCAAATTCTTCAAACTGCTGCACGCTCCCGAACCAGTTGCGAATGCATCGTTCCACAATCTGGCGATCGCAAGGCAGTACCGTGCCATCTTCTGCGACATGGTTCACAGTGCAACACCTGCATTTTGTGTCCTCTAGCCGGAAGCTGCGCAGCTGTCTGTGAAAGATCTCAACGCTGTGATGATAGGCCCTCATGACCGCCGTCGCCCAATAAAACGTCACATAGAAGAAGACCTGAACCACATACACGTTGTATAGTTGGTTCTTCTCTGGCCATGAATAGAGGAGCGTCCAGAAGAATCCAATGATTGGGATTGCCGCCCAAGCCACCATCGCTGCAGGCCCCAGGAGTGTAGGCCGTATCACAGCCCTTACTTGCTGAGTTCATAAGCGCCCCCCAAAAAAGTGTACACTTTCAGTTCTATAGGGGAGTACGGTATCCTTTAACAAGTGTAAAGTGTACTCACTCAGCTAGAGTCCGCGGCTTCCCGCTGCGATGCAGGAAAGCGGCGACTTCAAACACGCACCAAAGCCTCTCCTCAGTGCTCGACTGTCAAGCCCTCTGTGTCTTGAAGGGGAATTAGGGTTTAAGGTTTAGGGTTTAGGGTTGAGGGTTTAGGGTTTAGGCCCTAAGCTAACCCTACACTCATCGCCCAAGCAAAGCTTCGATGTAGGTGTGGTCCCAGAGTACCAGCAGTCGTTTGGACTGCTTCAATATCCCTGCCAAGCTCACGATGCCTCAGGGCTCTCGGATTATTGCATCATTTCTTTTTATTATTATTGTTATGATTATTATTGTGATTCTTCTTCTTATCATTATTAATAAAATGTATGTACACACACACACATATATATATATATATCTTCATAATCATAACAACAACACTAAGAATGCTCATAATAACAATAACAACAATAATCCAACATAATAATGACAATAAGAAGAATAGCAATAGTATCATAAAGAATGATAGCAAAAAGAATAATGAAATAATAACCTAAGTTACGATTGATTGAAATAGTAGCAATAATGGTAGTGACATAATCTAATTTTATATATCGCAAGAAATAGACATACTTATACGTATGATTATTATACACTATTTTTGGCCCATGACGCCTTCGGTCTTCTTCTGCGCGTCCACCTCGCAGGAAAGCTATGGGCATTCACCCCTATACGCTGCAGACCATAGACATGTCATGTGGGGAAGTTCTCGAAATCAGGTCCAGTTTGGAATCCACATTAAGGGTACCGTGTTATACATATACATATATATATATATATGAGCAAGTCCGCACTACTTCACAGCGACCTGCATGCTACCGTGTTTGGGCATAGGAGGAGGTTAGGGTTTAGGTTAATATCTGGATGTGTGAGAAGTATGCCGAGTCCACAACTTATCCTCGCCTGATCGATGCAGCAGACGTCCAGGAACACTTTAGCCTCGGGATCTGTGCGAGAATGACGTCAGCCATAAACAATACACCTTTGATGGGCCTGTAATAGTGAGCACAAACAGAAGCAGAAAAAAAAAGGCACCAGCTTAAGTGCCAAATTTGGGTTTGGGTATGATCACACTTACCTCTCGGCCTGAACCCTTCAAAGTGCACCTGACCTCTAAACCTCAAACCTGGACCCTAGACCTTAAACCCTAGCCCCCGTCAGTAGAGGTTTTAAATCTTGTAGTTCTGTAAACCATTCCACAATTCTCTATCTTTGAGTTTAGGGCTTGTAGGGTTTGAGATTGAGGGTGCAAGGTTTAAGTGGTTTAGGCGGTCTGGGCGGTTTAGGGTTTGGTGAGTATGTCCCAAGCCCTTATGGCCTGCAAGACCTAGTGGCTGGCCCCCCCACATCAGCGTCATGAGCATAGTCCATAGCATCGCTATGGGGTTAAGTCGTAGTCGTAGTCGTAGTCGTAGTCGTAGTCGTAGTCGTAGTCGTCGTAGTAGTAGGAGTAGGAGTAGGAGTAGGAGTAGGAGTAGGAGTAGGAGTAGTAGTAGTAGTAGTAGTAGTAGTAGTAGTAGTAGTAGTAGTAGTAGTAGTAGTAGTGGTAGTGGTAGTAGTAGTAGCAGTAGCAGTAGCAGCAGCAGCAGCAGCAGCAATAGCAGCAGCAGCAGCAGCAGCAGGAGTAGTAGTAGTAGTAGTAGTAGTAGTAGTAGTAGTAGTAGTAGTAGTAGTAGTAGTAGTAGTAGTAGTAGTAGTAGTAGTAGTAGTAGTGTAGTAGTAGTAGCAGCAGCAGTAGCAGCAGTAGTAGTAGTAGTAGTAGTAGTAGTAGTAGTAGTAGTAGTAGTAGCAGTAGTAGCAGTAGTAGTAGTAGTAGTAGTAGTAGTAGTAGTAGTAGTAGTAGTAGTAGTAGTAGTATTAGTAGTAGTAGCAGCAGCAGCAGTAGTAGTAGTAGTAGTAGTAGTAGTAGTAGCAGTAGTAGTAGTAGTAGTAGTAGTAGTAGTAGTAGTAGTAGTAATAGTAGCAGTAGTAGTAGTAGTAGTAAGAGTAGTAGTAGTAGTAGTAGTAATAATAGTAGTAGCAGTAGTCATAGTAATATTATTACTAGTAGCAGTCGCAGTTGCAGTCGCAGTAGTAGTAGTAGTAGTAGTAGTAGTAGTAGTAGTAGTAGTAGTAGTAGTAGTAGTAGTAGTAGTAGTAGTAGTAGTAAGGCTAGGGGCTAGAATTTCAAATTTGAGGTGAAGCTTTTGGTTGGAGATTGGAGACAGACATCAAGCTAGCCCTCAGCCCAGCAAGCGGAAGCTTTTCCTGTGGGCTGTTGTTCTAAACTCCAGGCTGGTAGCACCCAGGCCAATATGATACAAGGATTTGTGAGTCTATGGACCTGCGCAGCCAGGCATCTGTTAATGCTGTCTCTTCGAACCTTTTGGCCAATCGTGGGGATTCAACGGTTTTTGGTTGCTGTGCCGGATGGAGAATGGGCCACTCTGGAGCCCTAAACGGACTCCTGGACCCGGGATGTCGCTCTGGTGCACTCCTGGACCCCAAATATGAATGTGGTCAATCTGTCGGACCCTCAAACGTGCTTGGTTGGCCACCCTGGGCCAAAAATCTGCTTGGATTTCCTGGTGCTCCATTCTGGCTATGTGTTTCGTACAGAACCGAATTTGCACTATTTCTGGGAGGAGGACCCATCAAACATACTTCCGAAAACTCTACAGCAGACAGGAAATGGTGGCGGATAATCGGGAAAGCGTTTGGCTGTCTGTCGAATCCCTGCTTGAGGGGTTTCAGGGTTGCGCAAGTGCGACCAGCGACTCGCGACGGCCAGAGGAAGAGTGTCAGCACCGAGGTAACGGTCCCGGCCGCCATGCAAAAGTATGGGATTTCCCATACCGGACGATACTCCAACAAGTAGCCGTAGTACATCAAAAAGAATGGAATACAGGCCGCCAGCGTACCTGTCCCGAGAGCCCGCGCCTTTAGGGTTTACAGGGTTTAGGGTTCAGAGTTTTAGGGGAGTCTTGCAGACGAGCTGCCAGCCACACTGGCAGGCAGGCCATTCTTCAAGAACAAGAGGCAAAGGAACTTTCGGGTAGGGCTAAGTTGCCAGGAATGCGTCCAAAACTCGTCGATGCTTTCGGTGGCTCGGCTCCGTCGATGCAGGCGCTGCAGTTTTCGCACGTCGCCGCCACGCAGGGCACTGCCCATGAAGTAGAGGGCCTGCCGAGTCCAGACTCGCCAGATTCTGAATCCGCAACTCCCATGCCTCCCCATAAACCCTTACTAAACCCTAAACCCGTATAAACCTAAACCCTGAACCCCAAACCCCTAAGACTCCCCAAGCCTGGTAGGCAAAGATCGATCGAACCAGGTCCGGTCGGAGCACCTTCATGGCCGACACCCACTTCGATAGGGTGGCCGAGTACCGCCGCTGTGCTCGCGCCTTCGGGCAAGGCTCTCTGCGAAAGCTATGGGGCCTTGCGGCTAGGGTGTGTGACTTGCAATCTGCTTTTGAACAAACCCAGCAAGCTTGTGGCAGGTCACACGACACCACACTGTGACCCACGTGCACAAGAAAAACTCAGCTGCAGTCCTCTTGCTCCGCTTGCGCATTCCCGGCCGAAAACTCTGAGGGCACAGCATCGTCCACGTCCACGGCTGCACCGATCGCGTCTGCTTCAGCCATGGCTCGACCAGAGGTTTGCTCGGGGCCTGGCGGTGAAAACTTGCTGGGACGATTGGCGCGTTTGAACAGGCGCCTGAATTCGGCTCTAAACTCGATACCTGTCACTCACCCTCGCCTGGCTCGGCAGCCAAGAAAGCTACAGCTAAATGTTGTGTGCAGTACACACACACGCACATATATATATATATATACAGATATACTCCAAGGCGCACGCATGTCCGCGTCCAAGGTGCCCACAGCGTTTCCCGCGTCCAGGCCCGTCTTGTTTTCATTGGTTTTTACCAGGTATTTCGAAGCTTTCGGATTCCGGAAACTTTCTCAAAAACAGTTCTCTTGGGTTGAGGGTGGCTGTCCAGGGCTTTGAGAGCGCGTGCAGCTTGGAAGTGCCGCGTGCAGCTTGGAAGTGGCTTTAGGCTTCAGGATTTAGGCATTAGGCTTTAGGGTTTCGGGTCCAGGGCTAAGGGTTTAGGGTCTGGTGTTTAGGGTTCAGGGTTCAGGGCTTAGGGTTTAGGCTTCAGGGTTTAGGGTTTAGGCTTGAGGGTTTAGGGCTTTGGTAAGGGTTGAGGGTTTAGGGTTTAGGCTTTAGGGTTTAGGTTTGGGCTTCAGGGTTTAGGGTTTAGGGTTTCGGGTTTAGGGTTCAGGGTTTAGGGTTAATTTCAGGGATCTTGGCACCCAAACGAGCCCGACGCTCGTTTGGGCGCCACGAGCCGGGGAGGGTTTTTAGGGTTTTAGGGCTTAGGGTTTAATTAGGCTTCAGGGTTTAGGCTTTAGGGTGCAGGGTTTAGGGGTTCAGGGTTCAGGGTTCAGGGGTTCAGGGGTTTAGGGTTTAGGGTTTATAGGGTTTAGGCTAAAGTTAGGGGCCCTGGGTTTAAGGTTTAGGGGCATGGGTTTTGCGTGCAGGATTCATGACCTCGGTAAGCCTTCGCACGATTTTGACTGGGATCGTCTCGAAGTTGAGGGTTGTCTAAGGGTTTTGGGTTTAGGATATAGGGTTTTAGGCTTTAGGCTTTAGGCTTTAGGCTTCGGGGTTTAGGGTTTAGGGTTTAGGGTTTGGGGTCTAGGGTTGAGCCCGACGCTCGTTTGGGTGGCACGGGTCGGAGAGGGTTTTTAGGGTTTTGAGGCTTAGGGCTTAGGGTTTTGGGTTTACGGTTAGGCTTCAGGGTACAAGAACACTCGGCCCTGCGCAGGTCCCCAACGTTTTGCACCTTGGACACAGACGGCGCGTGCACCCTGGACACGGGCTGCGCGTGCAGCTTGGAAGTGGCGCCCGATATACATATATATATATATATACATATGTACATATGTATGTATATATATATACATATATATATATATATGTATATGGTCCCCCCCCATGATCCGTACACCCTCGTTTCGCATGCCTTTTTAGGGTTTTTCCAGC